CAGGGGTGGTATCGACCCCCCTCTCGTCTGAGTCACAGGGCTGGCGCCCGACGCCACTAGGCCCGGCGTGAGGACTTTATTCGGCCAACTTGGTTTTATCCCAGAGACCACAATCCGACGTCGTCCTCGCTTTTATTTAAAGGGCAGACCGACACTACCCTGACCAAGAGCAAGGGAAGGGTGAACGGTGTTCGCATTAAAGCCCGGCAACGGGCAGCTCCTTCGCGATCCGAGAGAATTTTACTGAGATTTGCTTACAGGATTCAGGACCACTCGCCCAGAGTAACCTCGTCCCCGGTTCGAGTCGTCCCATGTCCTTCTGGGTCCCTCCCTATTCGGTTCCGGCCGGTTCCGGCAGTATCCACTTTCCGGGTTGGCCATGAAGCTTCGGACACTTTCAAGTGCCCAAATTTACTGTTAACACTTTACAAAATTCAAATTTCCAGTCCAACACAACACCTCTACAGTGTAAACTGCAGTACTACTGTACTAAACTCGCCGGTAACAAATTGCAGCAGTCACAAAAATGATTCCTGTCAACACGCGGCAGATATGATGTCACTCTGTTCATTTTTCGGGACAGCCTCGCCCTCGCCGCTCGCCGCCTCCACAGCGTGCGGCGCGGCGACGCGGCCGCTGGAGGGGCCCGGGCCCACTGCGAAGGTTTAGCAAACGGGGAGCGGGGGCGGGGTAGCAGTTACGCCCTCCTCGGCCGTGCTCTCGCCAGAGGCTCAGACGCCACATTGGCCGCGCTGGGCTACGCTTAGAAACAACGGTCAGTTGTTCAGGTCGCAAACAGCCGTAGAATTCCGAAATTTAAAAGATGTAAAAGAGCCTCTGCCTTGATACACACTGAGAAATAGTGTTTGTCTTGAGCACTAAACATTTTGTGCCGAGACCGAAAGATTGGTCGCACTATACAGTTTTGTCCTGCGCATACCAAAGTTTTGTGGACGAGCTTCAAAATTTTGTTGCCCCGCACAGTAATTTCAGTGGCGGGGACCAACTTTTATGTGCCAGGAACAAAGAAGGACGCATTAAACAACCGTCTCTAGTTTCCAGCAGGAAAATTTTTTTTCCCAGTGCTACGCCGGTGCTACGCCAGTGCTACGCCACCGGGCGCGTGTTCCCCCCGGCCCATGGAGGCTGGCGCTACCAGGCGTGGTTGGCTTGGTAGGGGAGCCCAGGGGGAGCCCAGCCCAAAGGGTAGGGGTCTATATTATTAGTACGTCGGAGCACGAAGCGGAAGGGAATGGGGAGAGGGGGGAGAACGGGAAAACGGGCCTGAGCCCTGAGCGGGGCATTGAACGCAGCACATGGGGGGGGGGGGGCTGCACTCGGGAACTTCCACAAAACCGATTTTG